CTAGGTCCCTGTGCCTTCTTTCTGCCCCACCCCCTGGCCCCCGTGTGTTTTCTACCCACCGGCAGTATTCCCTCAATTTTTTCATTGTGTGCAGAATTAATTTTGTTCCATGCACCAAGGCAAGTGTAGGTGTGCACCACCCCTAGAAACACATGCTAGCAGTTGTGGGCACTCTGCAAATCACCCGGGTGGCACGTAACTCTTCCGTGGGCAGCCTCCCAAACACTCAGCTTATAGGGACCACTAGTTGTGGGCAATGCGCCGTCTAATCTTTTTCCTCCATGTGTGGAATAATTTTATGTGCACCAAAACACATGCAAATGTGCACCGCCTGTAGAAACAAAAACCTAGCTGTGGGTGCGCCACTAATCCCCTGGGTGGCCAGCCAAGCGCTCAGCTTACAGGGAGCACTGCCCATCGGCGGGAGGGGGTGCAGTGTCGAGCGAGCTGCCACGGCTTCGCATCGTCTGTCCCTCTGTCAGTCCAGCCGTGTTTCCTGGACGGCAGGCTGGGCGTGGGTGGCCACAGAGGTCCCCAGGCGCTTGCTGACCCTCCTCTCGTCCCGTCCCAGGGTGCGACTCCGGCTTCGGCAAGCAGGCTGCGCACCACTTGGACGCCCTGGGCTTCACGGTCTTCGCCAGCGTGCTGGACCTGCAGGGCGCGGGCGCCAGGGAGCTCCGGCAGAGCTGCTCCCCGCGGCTCACGCTGCTGCAGATGGACCTGACCAAGCCGGACGACATCCGGAGAGCCCAGCAGCTTGTGGTGCCCCAGACGGTGGGCACAGGTAGGTGGCGTGGCAATGGGGGGGGGAGCCCTCAGCCCAAGGGGCACACGCCTGGTGCAGTTCAGACGGGATGGGCAGGCAGGAGCAGCCCTGGCCACGGCCCTCGGATCGGCCTAGGGATGAGAACAGGTTGGCAGCACCGTTCCCAGTCGACGCTCCCTGGTAACTGGGTGACTGGCAGCGCGGCTGGGTTGGAGCAGCCTCCCACCCGTCTGCGGCCCCCCAATCCCAGTTAACCAGAACGTCTCCCTTTCCCTGTAGCCATCCCTAGACCTGCTCGGGGGTCCGCGTCGGCGGTTCGGCCCCTACTGGCCCTGAGCTTAGCTCTGCCCTCGCCCTCCGGCTGCCGGCGTGGGGAGGGGGACTCCAAGCCTCTGGCCCCGCCCCGGGAGAGCACGCCGGGGCAGGTCCCCTCTCTGCTGCGGGAGAGCCCCCTGCAAGGTGAGGGCGGCAGGCACCAGGGGCCACGCCCGGGTCCCGCTGACCCCCCCACTTCCCGCCCCGCAGGGCTCTGGGGGCTGGTGAACAACGCGGGCTTTGACGACACCATCGCCGACGCCGAGCTCTCCCCGCTCTGCAAGTTCCGCACCTGCATGGACATCAACTTCTTCGGCACGCTGGAGCTCACCAAGGCGCTGCTGCCTCAGCTGCCCCCCGCCC